CAATGACAACAAAATCTTGGAAGCTAGAAAGCATGTGGACAAGTGGCAAAGGATTTAGGAGACTCAAGAGAGCAGACTCTAGACAAGCTGGGAAGCGATGTAGGAGTCTACACAGCAGACTCCTCCAAAGATGCAGGCACTGGCACCACCAGATACTGTGGTCCTGAAGAAGGGACAGGTGAGTTAAGGAGGATGGGGTAAAAGGTGTTCATGACACAAATGGACCCCTAAATCTGTCCCCACTGCAACCTGGTGTCTTCCCTCACTCAACACACAAAGGGATGCTTCTCTGGAGAGGGTCAGACAGAGGGTCTCTAGACAGGGGGATACCAGGCACAGTTTGGCTCAGTACAACCAGAAACAGACTGGGTGACCATGTGCATACCACAGCCCCTCCTTTGCGCCCCCTCCTTTCCCACTCAGCTCCTAGGTGCTGATTTGACCTTTGTCCTCCAGTCAGGAGACTAGGAGATTCTTCTCTTGGAATTTAGACCAACTAAGAGGAAAGACTTTAAGACACTGACCTCCATGGTCCCTCAACTAACAGCCCTCCCAGATACCCCATTGTAAAGGAACCTCTGAGTTAACAAGGCTCACCCATTTGTGCAGAGCTTCCAATCAGCATTTTCATCTCTTCTCTTAATCATGAACAACCAAGGGTTAATGGGCATCTAAGGAAAGCCTCCAAAATGAACAAACATACCCAGATAAACAGATTAAAGAAACTTGGAAGAAACAGTGGATTCTTCAAAAACGTTTTAAAAATTGGGGAGCTGGCCAGATAGCTCAGTTAGTTGGTTAGAGCATGGCTTTGTCACACCAAGTTCAAGGGCCCAGCTGCCAAATAAAAAAAAAATTTTTTTTTTTGAAAGATGATATTCCATTCATGAAACAAAAACAGAATGTTATTTAAAAAGGAACATTTAGAAAATTTTAAAAAGCTCTTGAGATTAAAAAGTATGACAGTAGTCAAGGAGAAAAAAAAAATCAATAGAAGGATTGGAAGATAAAGTTGGAGAAACCTCCCAAACAGTTGAACAAAATAAGAGAGAGAAAACCAGGAGAGAAAAGATAAAATAAAGTGGAAGGTCAGCAAAGGAGATCTACTGTCTGAATAGGATCTCCAGAAAGAGAAACTGGAAGAAAGAAAAAAATAGAGGGGAGACAATTTATCAGTGAAGTAATTTCATTTCCCAGGACTAAGGAACATAAGGTTTTGATGGAAACGGTTCAGAGTGCCGAGCACATACGATGAAAACATCCTCGTCAGGGCACGTCGTCATGGACCACTGGAGGAAAAATAAGGTTCTAAGAGCTAGAAGAGACAAAAAGGAACTGTTCCCATGTAAATGGCTGCTAGAAGATCAGACCAATGCCCTGGAAATTCCAAATGAAAATGATCCGAATCAATGATGGGATGTAACAGACGTTCCCGACATTTAAGATCTTAAAAACTTTACACGTCACATGTTTAGAGAGAAACTACTCAAGGATGCATGCCACCAAAAAGAGGGAATAAATCAAAAAGGGAAACACACACAACACAGAAAACAGGAAATCTGACCTAAGCGGCAAAGAGAAGGAATCACCACATGCTGATGGACACCAGGGAGGGCACCCAGCCCGGACTGGAGCAGGGCCAGGGCTCCCCAGCTGTAGTGACCGTTCTTTCACCGTGAATTGACAGAGAGAGTGAACATTAACAACCTTTACTGATGAGATCCATAAGGACTTCACATGGCTGAGACCATCAAGACGTTATGTTTCTGACACAAACTCTGTTTAAGAAGTTTTATGATTTTCTTTTAATCATTACCTTAGCAAGAACATTGTTTCCTAAAAATGAAAAGCAGAAATAAAAAACCTGCATGAATTCAAAAAACCTAAATGGTCTTACATACTTTTATATGCAGATGCACACAAAGCTGATGACAGCAGTGGTCTTTAGGGCACTAAAGGTGGGTTGTGGGTCCCTGGGAAAGAGATTAAGGAGGTGACTTTTTATCATCCATCCTTTTATTTTTTTGATTTGTGTATTGCTAGTACACAAATTGCTAGTACTTGTTCAAAAATGGATGAAATATATTCTCTAATTCTAAAAAGAGAACAGAATGAAAAATACATAGCAAGGATAAGTCTTATGAAACAGACATATAAAACTCTGTTTCATACATATAATACTATTATGTTCACTGTAAATAAATGTGTTTAAAAATGTTTCTTATTGTGGGACACACAGTAGTTTGCAAGCAGTAAACCAAGGACTTCTGTAATTATAAAAAATTGCTTTCCTACAATTCATCTGCTCCTTAGTATCCATGGAGGATTGCTTCCAGGACCTCCTATGGATACTAAAGTCTGAGGATGCTCAAGCCCCTTACATAAAAAGGCAGAGTATTCGCATATAACTTATACACATCCTCCTATACACTTTAAATCATCTCTAGATTATGTATAATACCTAATATAATGCAAGTGCTATGTAAAATTTAAAATTTGTATTATTTCTTATTGTTGTATTATTTTTTATTTTCCTGAATATTTTCAATACATGGTTGGCTGAATCTGTAGATGTGGAACTTACAAACATGGAGGGCTGACTGTACTTAGTGAGCACCCACTGGTCCTGGGCACTACCAGAGCTAAGGTGTTTGTGCACTAGCAGGGGGCTGTGTCTGTGGAATCAGATCATCTCCATCTGTGTCAGTATCCCTGGCACAGTGCCCACTGGTGTCTACTTTCGGCCTCCTCTGTAGCTAGTGTCTGGGAGAGCCTCTGGCTTTGTATGATGAGCACGCCACTATAAAAAAAACTATGGAAAACATAAAGATGACAAAACACCACTGTTATACCATTTAAAACGTTTTAAGGAATATTATTCTAAAACAAAAAACATTATCATAGGTCTATTCCAGTATTTTGTAATATCTTCTGTAACACTGCACTCAGAAGGTAGAAAAACCACAAAGTTCTTCCCTAAGGAAGGGTGCGAAAGGAATGTAATATTGCATTCCTGCACTGTATAGATATGAACTGTGAAGACTAGGAAATTCAATTATTTCATTTTTACCCCCTACAGCATTTTTGCTGAATAACTGCTCATTTCACATCCAACAGCTATCTTGTTGAGATTTGCCACGATTTAGGATAGATGAGCCTTCACCATTTAGTACAGAGAATGTGTCACTGCCTACATCCATCCTGTGGGATAGCATCACACACCAACCTATTAGAAAATCCTGCCAAAAATTATTGCCAGAAATTATTTTTGCCAAAATCCTCCACCTTAATATTTAAATAGCTAAAATATAATGAAGGCTATAATGGGCACTATAACTGGAACTACAAACATGCCCCGTTCACAAGTGCTCTGCTTCATAGCAGCAGCACCCTGGGATAGTCAAGGGCACACTCACATTTAAAAAAATGAAGTGTGAAAAGCAAACACAAAGGGCATTTGCATAAAGCAAAGAATCCTGTTCTTCGTAGTAGAAAACAGGCTAAAGAGGTTCACAGACAGGTACAACCTAGAATTTGATTCTGAGTATCAACCTTGGAGTCATAGCATACATCTCCCAACATACGTTCCAATATTTTACATCAGTAGTTTCCCATACAATAGTTAAAAAAAACCCTACCAAAGCACAACCCAAATCATATTTCCTTTATTAACCACTTTACTCCAAGTCTGGTTAGTGGAATCATCAGACTGTCTAGCCTAATGGTTAATGGAAAATTTTCAGGTTCAAAGATGATGCCTTGCTAAGGAGGCATTATTAAGCTCAAAGTAAACCCTGAAGTACTTTATGAAACCTATGAAACAATGATGTATTTCCAAAATTGTGAAAAACAGGGGATTTAAGGCAGATGGTGACTCTAAGAAGAATTACTCAAGTATCAAACTGGCACCCTGGAAATGGCTTATAGCAAAACCTAGTTTCCACTAGTTTCATTATATGGGTGAAACTTCTCCATCAGTAGAGAACGGGCTGCATGGTTGGGCCACACCGAGGCAATTCTCCTCTTTGTGGATCCACAGAAGGAAAATGACTTTTGGTGCCATGTGGTTTGCACTTATCCCCAGCAAGACAGTCTAGTTCCCTCAACCCAATGTGTGCCTGAGAAAAGACAGTAAAAATATCTCCTTAAGAGGTAAAGACTACAAGGAAGCTACATGCTCACTCTGGAAAGATATGAAAATGTCACAGAATAGGAGCACGACATGTTGATTTTAACAGCTTTTTGTCAGGTACACACTACAGAAAGCACTGTCATCCAAAAAAAAGGTCATGCAGAAAAATTAGATTCATAATAGAGAAGATACATCCAAAGTAGGCAAAAAAAAATGGTTTATGTGTTTTAAAAAATATGCAAAATAATTTCACTATGAAATACCTTGATTTGCATGACTTAGTACTCATTCAATATTAACCAGATCCAATTGCTCTGATAAATCTCTATTATATGTTTTAGAATATCTATTTTTTTTAAAAATCTATTTTTAAATCAGAACATAAAATCTATATTTGTGCGCCCATGTGTAAGCTATCCTACTTGGTATCATGGAGCAAATACACCAAAAGATTAATAATTTTTAAAAGTCTCCAATAAAATTTTTATAGACTAACAAATAACGTATTTCCTCAAGTTTTCTGGATTATATTACAAAAAGTAACTTGTATTAATGCAATCTGGATTTTCAGGTATAAGTACCAGTCAATGGTTGGTTGTCAAAACTTAAAAAGCAATAGGATTGGGAGGACCTTCACAATAACGACCATTAAATCATAAGTAAAATCATTCTCAGAAATGGACCACAGTATACGGAATGCCTTAACTTTTCTTAGTTCAAGCCCTGTAAATTGACTCTAAGATTTGTAATCATGCTCTTTTATGTGCTTTAAGCTGACATACTATAAGTAAAATCATTCTCAGAAATGGACCACAGTATACGGAATGCCTTAACTTTTCTTAGTTCTAGCCCTGTAAATTGACTCTAAGATTTGTAATCATGCTCTTTTATGTGCTTTAAGCTGACATACTAACTTTGAAGTTATAGACTTCGTAAGAGAGCAGGTAACTCTAGCACAGAAGAAACTATATAATGTGGGACGGGGGACGACTTCAGTGGTACTATTCTATTTTTATTTATCCAGACTGTTGCTTTCAGCCCTGCATTGAGGCCTCCTTGTATGTCAGTTTCTAATGTGTCACCAACCATCACACAGTCCCCAGGCTGCACTCCCAGTAAGTCACAGCAGTAATGGAATATGGAAGGCGCTGGCTTCTCCTCTTTCTGCTCTCCTCCTACAACAACAGCGTCAAAATAGGACTGACAGGCACAGGCCTCGATCTTCTCCCTCTGGGTCTGTCTGTCACCATTTGTTAATAAAAGTAGGCGGACCTCCTTTCGCAGTTCAGTGAGCATGGTTTTGACATCTTCCGCTAGTGTCATATGCTGTAAACGTGTGGATTTCCACAGGAAATAGCATTCTTCAGCCAACTTCCTATTGGCTGTACCACCTTTTGTTTCCTGGATTGCTTCTTCCCAATGGGAAGTCCTTAGATCAGTAATGCACATGTTGTAAGGATGAAAACATTCCTTGCTGAGTTTAACCTGAACTTTATCACAGATGCTTTCAGCCTCTTCTTTATAATGGTATTTTGATTGTAAGAGCTTTATCACCTAAATAAAGAAAAATAAATTCATTAACACAACTCCCGTCTTTAACAGTCATGCCCTGAGAAGCTGGGATCCTACAGGTGGCTGAGATTCTAACTCCACTACCCTGCCTCAACGCAGCTTTAGTACCACTCCATTTCCGGTGGGAGTTGGCTTTATTTTACAGACACCAGAGTGAAGCTCTCTCAACCTGTCTAGACAACTCATTCGTATACATATTTTTTTTACTGATTTCCATTCTAAGAAGATTCTTCTTACATAGTTAGCAATCCTTCATTTGGCAGTTTCAAGTACACCACCCCACCTTTCATTCCAGTTGCGAAAATATGAAAATAAAACATGCTTATATTTAGTAAAACATTTTGGATTTCTGACAACCATTATTTAGGTTCTTCCCCGAATAAATAATGCTAGTTCATCTAACCTTTTCTCATCTACATCCATTTCACATTTTGAAGACCCAAACTGACCATCACATAAAATGGAACCCGATTCTGTACTTTTAAAAACACATCTACTTAGCTCTAATGGAATCAAATATGTATGTGGTTTCAGCAGTTTAATGACCCAGTGCTTCTTCTAAACCTAGTTTTTCAGATAAGAAATTCCCAGTACTTCTGAGTCACCCTTTTACACTGGTTCTGAGTCCCTCATCAGAATTAAGCACTCCCTCTCCTGTGTTCCCAGCTTTTTATCTGGGCTTTTATTATACTAGGTTCTCCATTTGGCCTGTCTTCTAACATTTACTAAGGACCCTAATGTGGCAAGCATTATACCAAATGCCTACCCATTATTTCTAACCTTTACTACAACCCTAGAAGGCA